CCATTTTTACCGACAATTAAAGTCCCGAGGCATCAACGATGGGGCAACAATTCGGCACGAAAAACACGCGATCAAGTAGGACCCCGGGAAAGAAAGATGGCGGCCGCGAGATAGAGCGGCCGTAGTAACCAACTAAGCAGTTCACACTACAGACTCCTCTCGATTATTGTCCGGCTTGTTCTAACGAGTATTGTTCAGTTGTTATATTGCTGTCTCTCCGCTTTTATTGCCGAGGTTCGCGCTTTCGGCAAAAGAAAACAAATCGACGATGGTCTGAAGCGTTTCCCCCTATAAGATTATTGTCTCGGCACGGACCCGAATTTAGGACAATAATCGAGAGGACTCTGTATTATCTACTTATTACCACGGACGAATATACGCGTTCCAGATTATTTTCCACAGTCGATTTTCTCGAAGAGGAAGTGACAAATGAAAAAATTTGATTTTGTACCTTCGACTTATTTTTTACGACACAAAAAAAAACACGAACAGGTAGGACCCCGGGAAAGGAAGATGGCGGCCGCGAGACAGAGCGGTCGTAGTAACGGAAGAGAGATGAAGGAGCAATTTTCAGAAGTGAAATCGGTTCCCCCCTCTCACCCGGAGCACTATTGATCCGGCCGAACTGCACGCCTCAAGATAAAGGAAAACATTCACGGGAGAGGGAAATGTTATAAAAGATGAGTGCCGCGGAAGCAGAAGTAATAGGCACAGGAGGACTGCGACGTAAAGGAGGAGGAAAAGGAGGCCATTATGGTCGGACGAGCAAAGACTTCGCGCGCGCACGACCGTCATCCTCCCGTTACTTCGTCGGTTTCGAAGTAATAATTAATGAATATGAAACAGACTTGGTCGTTAACTTTATTTAAATTGTCCCCGTGCGCGACTTAATGAACCCCGAAAGATCGGTTTGTCCCTTCGTTTCGTCCGATACTTCAGACATCGGGTCGTATAAATGCCCCCCCCCCCAACCGAAGGATATAAATATGTATCAAAAGACGACTATCGGTAGTAATTATCGATCATCGATGCAAATCGGCCCACGGTGATTAGCGATCTCTCATTTTACAGTCTGTTTCAAAAGTGCGTTCGAAAGATATCTGAAAAAATAATTTATATTTTTTTAAAATTCAGAAACAGGATTAAGCTACGTCTACACTATATAGCACAACAGTGTTATACAACAAATTGTTGTATTCGAGGATTTTTATCTCTGTAAGGTTATGACGGGGGGGGGGGGGGGGATCCGTCGTTGATGGAAACGCTGCCGAGTTTATTATGTCTGCGCGCCAATGTGATCGGCCGATGGGCGTTCAAGAGGGAAATGATTAATCGAGTCTATTCTTGAATGGATAAAAGAGTCAATTTTAGAGTCTATTCTTCTTACGTGTCTTTCGATGAATCGCTGGTTAACCCTTGTGCACTGTCTAATAAATCGTTTCGTTCGATAATAGGTTACCTTGAATTGAACTTGCGGTCGAAGCTGAACTCGACTTTAGGAAATACAATCTGCGTAGCTTAACTATCAAATTTAAAAATTAAAACTGTACCCAAGGTACAACAGGTTCCCCCACTCACATCTATGAAAAAATATATGATACTAGTATTTTATTTCGTAATTTCGAATACATAGCCATATGGCAACAGTATAAACAAAAGGGTTAAATATCTCGAAAAAAGGCGTGCTTATCACACGTAATTAAATGCTTCTAGAATATACGAATGAATGTCTTTATTTTTAAATAACTTTCGTCTTTATTATCTGTGAAAACAACGGACGGGAATGGTTTGTGTTTCGCGTTTCGAGGGCGAACAAACACAAGAAGAAAAGCCCGGGAAAGCAGTTACAATTAATATCATCAACGTGTAAGAAAGTATTTTTATCGCGGCGTAATGCACGAAGTAAGTAGGTATAGGTGCTTGAATTACACGGCGGAAAAATCTTCGCGCGGTCTGCACGGGGACGGCGATATATAAAACTTTCAAGCGGCTGGAATAAGTGCCCGAGCGAAGCATAGTTACGACCCCGGAGATCATGAAACGTTAACTATGTTGGAGGAGCGCACGAAAAGAAGGGAATATGGGGCGAACGCGGGGAGCCGTAGTGCATTGTTGGAGAGAATATAATGGAGCAACTAAGACACTCTATTAAGTTATTCTCTTGTGTGTGCTTTCGAAAGCGAAGAACGCCCGCGTAGAACGGGGCCGTCGTTTAATTATTAAACCGGCCGGAAAAATGATTCGAAGTTCCTACGACGGAAAAGAAAACTGCCGCCCGATGCCTTTTTGCTGGGGGACCGTTTAAAAAAATGCGATACACGTTGAACGAACTTTTGAAGTTTGCGGGCTGGAACTGTGCTTTTGCCGGTGTTAACTGTAATAGGATTACAAAAGTGGTCTCTTAGTTGGATAAACAATCTTTTAATAAGTAATTTACTTGTTGGAAAATTTCATCATAAAGTGTTTAGTATGGGAAAGTTTGTAGGAATGATATTGCTATAAAAATGTAAACGTGAATATGAGATTACTATAAAATAAGTTGGTAATAATACAGGGTGTTCCCAAAATCGTGGTACGTGTTGGTTTTTTTATCTGAAGATGTTTTGAAAAATCAGTAGAAACTGAAGAAATTATAAAAGAATGATTTGCTACAATTATACAAACATACATGTTATGTAACATATATTATTATCAAAAACAAAAAAATTGTTAAATGTGACACAATATTTTCTTATGATCTTGAGTATATTTAATTTACACAATACCGATTGATCTTGGAATTTTTTGAAATGTCAACAGTAATTGTTTATATTCCATCCAATATATGTGAAGCTGCAGTATTTTGTTAACGTGATAAATATTCATTACAACTCGATTACTCTTGTTTCCGTTAAATTAAAAGGATGACTGCGATGTTTCTAACGGTTCGACCCTCTATTTGCCTAAATTTGATTAACGAGGATATATTGACTCGGCGGGGGTCCTCACGGTGAAAGTAAAATTTCCTTTTGTAATCCATGATCAACGTAAACAAAGATTAATCATAGTTTACGAAGACTCGTACAAGGGAAATGGGGAGAGGACTTAATTTTGGGAAGAAAACTCATTCGTTCCATTCCTACCGTCAGTCTGTGTCAATTATTTCTGCTCGATCTATCTTGTCGAGCTCCGAGCAGTTTTGCCCCGTTTTGTTATTTCGTCGGGTCTGTCGCGACCTTTCCCTATTAAGTCTTACGAACTTGAATTACGAGCGCTTTTTTACCTCTGTTGTCCCGTGACTCTTCCACTTTTTTTTCGTCGTCCCTTTAAATGAACCATGAGATAAATTACGTAGTCACTTTAAATTACGAAGGTGAAATCTATATCAGGCGAGAATCATTAATCAGTAAATATGACACAAAAAAAGCTGAGACGATTATTATGGAGTTAAATTCTGCGACCTCATAGCGCGAAATCTGAATATCTAGTACAAACATAAAATTATCGTTCGAACGATTGAACAAACGTTTTACTGAAAAATTAGTGAAAAATCTAGAACGTCCTAAAATTCTAAATACATAACCGCGTACACTACCGTTCAAACGTTTGAAAGCAGTTAAATAAAATCTTAAAAAGTCAGTTACAGATATTTTATTATAATCGAATTCTTATATTATATACAACAAAACCAATTTGGAAGAAACAAAAATAAATTTTTCCCTTATCAAATAAAGTAACCACCTTTATTTTTAATAACTTCGAAAGAAATTTTGGGTACTTTATTTATTTATTTCTTAAAATATTCTTCATCTAAATTTGCCCATTCTGCTATAAATCACTTTCAGAGTTATGTAGCACAAGCAGAAATAATATGTAAGTATATACGCAACATTCGATAAAATAAAGAATTTTTGGAAAACAAATTTTTCTGTGAGCAGGTCGAAATATACAATAAACTTTTTTCTACAGACGATTACTTTCAACGTATTGACAAAGGGTCGTTTGTTTAACTAAAAACTATGGCTGCTTCTAAACTTTTCGAGGGTAGTGTATGTGTAGTTGATGCAACGATAAATACATATTAAAAAAATCAAACGATTTAAAAAAAAGAAACTTTGAACATAGTATCAATCGCATACTAAATGAGTTTATACATTGTTCGCAACTTCCTTCTTTTAGTCTGATAGGCCATATACATATATATTCGAAAGTTCAACACGCAGTGTTTCCGAAACAGCCTGTAAATAAAGTACCCGGACAAAGCCCTAGATACATCTTCTTATGCAAATAAGTCTTCGGGAATAAAGCTCGATATAAATTGTCCTCTTAAAGGACCCTGATGCTCGTCGACTCTTATCTCAAGGATAAGAAGTTCGAGCCGCGTAATAATACTTCCTCGATTTTAAGGGCAGAACGTGGGCCCCAACGAATTTACGAGTGAGAAACATTAAGTATACGTGAAATCGAAAAGAAGTTTCGAACAGCTGTTTTTACCATATACGTAGAACAGATAACGTGGATACTACGTGGAAACAGTTCTAGAAATTGAAGGAAATGACTCCGTTGATCAATTAACACTAGAAGTACCAGACTATTGAATATATACTAAATTAAACTGTATAATACAGTAATATCAATAGATCGTGGAAGTTTATGCAAATTCACAGACAGAACTAATATCAAAAAAATTAAAATTGAGCAGAATTTTGAATTCTCCACTATAGGCTTTACTACGTTAGTAATAATACATAATAGTATTAAACTTTATTAAAAACCTTTATTTTTTCCATATTATAAGTTAAAAGATGCTATAAATGCATAAACACCCACAGTCTAATAATACATAATACAATTTATAGTGCATAATATATTGAGAGTCAACGCAAATTGTAACGAGAATTTCTTTACAAGTTTAGTGATTGTAAAATAAAAAATCTAAAATCTGTTAGTTTCGCGGGCTTGGTGATTCTAGTGTTAAGTGGGGGAAAATGGGTCTATTAAGCGGTAATTACTGTACTTACCGCCCTCGATGGAGATCGGCGTGGTGTTCGTCTCGCCCCCTTTGATCTGCACGTTCCCGCGGTACCAGACGATCGTCGCGGCCGGTTTCGCCGATCGAACCACGCACTCCAGGAGCCGCGACTCGCCGACTTTCACCTCGATCGTTTTCTTGTTCGCGTGATTGTTGATTTCCACTTTCTGCGGCGGCGCTGTAACAGAAACGAACGAACCTTATATTACTACGAACCAATAACAGCACAGATTTTACTTTACATACTGGCCAGGATAATTTAGGTGACGTAACAATAAAGTTTTGATACTAAGACATTCAAAAATGGCATGTTCAAAATTAAATACATGTGATGTACAAGACGTGAGAATAAAGTTTCGATAATGAGTGATTTAAAATTGTAATTTGGAAAATTAAAGAGATTTGATGTACAAGATATGACAATAAAGTTTCGATAATAAGACATTTAGAAATGTTATTTGCAAAATTAAACAGATGTGACAGTAAACTTTCCATATTAACAATAAGTCGTTTAGAAATGCTATTTTGAAGATTGAACGGATGTGATGTACAAGATGTGACAGTAATGTTTCGATAATAAATCATTTGAAAATTTTACTTTGAGAGTTAAACAGATGCTACGCTTTCAAAAACTTAAATTTGAATTTAGTGTTTCAATCACACCTTGTAGTTCCAAATCTAGGGATAGACGAGATTAACATGTTCAGTATCGATGACACCTATAAGCGTTGAATATGGGGATCGTAATATTTCATAAAAGCTTAGTAAATTTATTTGTAAAATTACAACGGTTGTAGTGTAATTTCTATAAATACTCTTTATCTGTGCTATAAAAATTCTTGGATGTTAAAAGGGTAGAAGAACTTTTTTATTTATATGTATATTCACTGACCCGAGCATATTAACACTTGTTTGAACAGTTTAGGACGAGCTAAAAAGGTAATTGTCCATAAACTTTTCTGCGTCGCTACATTTATTATAAACTGATACAAAGGAACGCTTCTGTGGTATTACAATACATTGTACCGTACTTGCGAACACTTTGAATTTTATTTTTCAAATTTATTTTTTTTAATAATCAATACTTCTATATAACTGTACTGGTAGGCGGAGATAGTTTCATTTCTAACATCGCGGTATTATTAATATCTGCACTAAATGTTCACTTGGATAGTTCCTTAAATATAGTCGAATGCCTAAAATAATCTTTAACTTAGTTTAGCTAGGCGAAATTAGTTTCACTCGGTTTCATCTATACAAAAATCTTTAATATGCATAGATAGTACATATTTACTAACAAAAGACAGTTAAAGAAGGAAAATTATTTAACTAGAATATTCAGGTTTAACCCTTTAACGGTAGAATTTTGTTTTGGAAATGTGTATCTGTGTGCACAATTCATTTGATTCCTTTATTCTAATGAAAGTTATATATGGTTCAATTTTTGCTAAAATTTCAATTTCTATACCAAAAGGTATTTTATACTTTCACACGACAAGTATACTCGTCATTATCCAAAAAGTGGCTTTTTCCTCGTGACGAGTATACTCGTCATATACCGTCAAAGGGTTAAGTCATATTTGTTAACATATAATTAAACATTGACAGATTCAACAAAGAAACTAGTCTTCAATATTAAAAACCATTTTCCATTTCTTGGTCACGGAGACAAAATTCAATTTCAGGCAATGCCGTAAGAGAAATTATCCAGCAAATTCACAAAACAAAAGTGTCTATGCAAGAAACCTCTGAGAAATTATAAATAATTCGAATCATTGATTCTTCTTCAATTCATAATATCTAATGTCCCGAGAATATTTTCGTTTCGCAGAAACTATTTCTATCCGTCCCACGAAAGTCCCTCAGCATTTCAACGAATCGTAACCACCAGGTTAAACACGAGACGACGATGGAGAGGGTTTCGGAAAAATGGCGGAACGTTATCCTCGACCAGTGTGTTTCGGCCTCCCCCATCCCCGGCCACGTTGTTGCAGAAAAACCGAAGAAAAGGAACGAACAGAAACGCATTGACCAGGAAACTCCGTAGTAACGGTTATTTGCCACTTCATTTCGCCTGATGCAACGTGCTTTTCGATCGGTTCGCCTCGCGTGGGGTGCATCGTTGAAGAAGAGGAAACTGGGCCGGCTATCGATATTGGAAAATACGTTTTCGACCAGCAGCTACCGCTCCGCAGAGCGATACAGCGCGCCACGAGTAGCTTTTGATTTGCGATTTAGCCTCCATGGAATTCTTCACCCGAGTAGTACAGGTTCGCGTATTACGGGGAATAGGAAATTAAGCCTGGTCCCTGACATAATCCGAGGCGAACTCTGACCCTCGTGATTTATTTTTTTGCATTTCGTTTTAAATTAGAATATCGCGAGTTCTCGATAGAGATACATTAATTATTCTTGCTTCAGGATCCCCTGTGGTTTTTACTGCCTCAGTATTTGTGGATCTAAATTTAGAATTTGTGCTCGTTTGCACCGATGGAGGGAGCTTTAAATTGCTATTGTTGGAGTCTTTTTATTAAATTGAACGTTACACGAGCAATAATTAGACTTCGCGCGATTCTGTGATTTAATCTGAGATCGGTGAATGAAAAATATCGATACCAATTCAAAGATTGAGATTTTATAGGAGTGGAAATTAAAGACTACACAACGAACAGGAAATTTATGATTGAAATTATGAATTAATCTTGTATTGGTTGCAGAGTTATTTAATCATAGCGGTGTTTAAAATGGCTGACTTGGAATATTTGATTTAAAATTCAATTCTATATGTGAGGGTAAGTCGAAAACGAGGAATAACATTTTTTCTGGAAATAAGTAGAAACAGCCTGCAATGAACAGACGTGCCAGCCAATGGTTGTACTTACAAATGGTCATAATGACACCAGAAGAGTTATTTTTAGCAACTTACACTGCATATAGAGTAACATAATTATAATAGAAAATTCTCATATAAAATAATTTACTGTAAATCATTGAATATTCATTAAAATGCAATTGAACTACAGTCGATTTTTCTAATTTCAACGATGTTCTTCCCTTTGAATAAATTACTGTATTCTAGACGTATAACAAATAAAGCTGCTAAAAAGAATTTTGGTTTCATTATGAGCACTTTCAAGTGTAACATTGAAACATATCGCACCCCCACAAGGAAAGTGTCACAATTAAAAAATTTTCAATTTTCATTTTATTACGTGAAATATTTTCCAACACGTGGATCCATCATCCAGAAAAATATCGCAAGTTGACCTCCAAAAATTCCAAGCCAGATGGCGATGGTGTAACTTTGTTTATGTGAAACAAAGTTTCAAAATCACCAAAACTCTGAAAAATTTGAATTTCGACTTTTGGGCCGCTTCGACATGTAGAATGCATCCTACATTATCAATTTCCACTTCTATCCTGCCAAAAATCTAAGTAACTCATATATAATTAAATTCAAAGTGTGAATATTGGAAGGTCCACAATCCCATCTTCAAGTGTTCTTCGCATCGATCCCCTATACATATCTAAACCAGTAATGTCCCAGTTCCCATAACCATCGTCCCCTTCACTCGGCCATAACCATTTATCGATCTCTTTTGTAACGGCCATTGAATTTACCATCGCTCCTTAAATTCGACAGGTCGACCCCCTATTCCCCTTCTAACAAACAACGGTTATTACTGTTTTTCAAGGCTTGGTACAACGAAAATTTATCGCATCCCGTGCTCCTAATTCCTCGACGGGGGTGGAGGTTAGAGGATCGTATCGATAACAGTAAGGTCGATATACACTTGTCCGTGCAAAAAAAAACCCAGACTGTGCAGCGGTCCTTCGCAAGGAAACCACGGGGAAAAATAAAGATTCTCTTCCCGGTCCGGTTTTTCTCCCCTAATCCGCACCGTTCTCGAGGCAACCGACAATTTCGCCAGATAAAAACGAACGTAGACGGATGTTCCGGCCGCCATCTTGTCAGCGGAAAAGAAGCCTCCGTGGCCACGGAGCACGCAGCACAGCGTCTTCGCCATGAGAATTACGCGGCGGCGGGCTAGGTAAAGGTATTCAGCGGAATAATAGCTGCCATACTTTCCTCCGCTGTCCACCGCGATAACAGCATTACTAAACCGTGTTCCCTCCGTTTCCCCAGTGTCCGTGAGCTTTCGCCACTTAAACGGGAGCATCTTTTTCCTTCCCTAATTTCTTCCCCTATCTCCCCATCCGGGCCATGGTATTGCGTTCCTCCCCACTGTTTTCTCTACAACCTGTCCCACCTCCCTTCCTTACGTGACTACATTTCCCCCTTCGTATACTACCTTTATACGTTGTACGTTCCGTTTCTTTATCCTTAAGGCGCTCGTGTTACAACGAGTACGCGCGGCGGATATTCAATTTAATTTCGAGATTAAACTTTCGTACGTATATATATATAGTCGATGTGATGAAAATATCCGCCATTTTGTTTTAGGATGGTAGGTACTTGCTTTTTATTGTACGTTTATTCCTGGAATCTCTGGAATTCTTCTTGGAATTAGTTTTAAGAATTATTCGTGATCGTGAACTGGATAATTATTAGTGTGCAGCGATAAGGAGATTAATTAACTTCTTTTTTTACTGTGGTTAGAGTCTCGACTTATTTTGGCTAAGATAGCTATGTATTTTTGCGATAAATATTTGTTTTATTTATTTATTCTACGGGATAATTCCCATTAAAAAATGTTAACATGTTTATATAAATATAAATCGGACGAAGAATGAAATTAAAATAAAACATATAGCTGGAAAATGCAAGAGAGAAAAACAAACTGGTAATTACAAGACTCTGTAAACTTGGTTTTCGAAAGACTGGATAGAGCCAATAAAAAAATCAAAATGTTTTAACGCTAGGACGACCGGCTAGTTTCGCCAGCCAATTTCACCAATGATCGGTTGTTTTTGTCAAGAATTAACAAAATATGGTTCTTGTTATGTGTATAAAAACATTCAATAATTCGTAATATCTATAAAATACCAGTTGACACTCGCATGAAACCACTGTGGCATGATCGGTCGTCATAATTTTAATTAATTTTCCATGTAAAAGGAGGAATAAGCAACAAAGTGTTTAATATTCGGGTGACACAACAAATATGTCCACTACTGTATACACTCCCGTTCGTAAGTATTATGACGCTTATCGAA